GATAGGACACTGGGAAAGGCTGACATCCTTGCCTGCTTCATTTTGAACTCCCCATTTGACCTTATTTTCTTTTGGCTGATTCTCCCAGGCTAAGAAAAATGCATAAACACGACTGCCTTTCATTGCTCTGAAACTACGTGGGAAGGCCCCTCCAGCACTCTTGTTTCTCTCTGAAGATGGTCTCAGCTTCTCCAGCCTCTCCCAATAATGAAAATTTTCACTGATTGTAACATCCTCATTTCTGTCCTACAGTGCATGCTCTGCATCATTCTCCATGTATAGTTCTGGTGGTGCAATCACTGTAGCTATATCTTGCTTTAGAAGGAGTTTGGTAATTACAATAATAGTGTCATTTGGGGAAGCTAATAATCAAATCTCTGCCGTTTTTTACATCTTTTTCTCTCAAGTTGTAAAAACTGCAACAACATTTTGTTCCTGCTTCTAATTTATTCCTTATTCCAGTTCACTCTTTTGTTTCTGATGAAACAACCTCTCACAATCTGATATGAGTGAAAGGCAGCACAGCGTCAAAAGCAAGTCCCACGTCTGGCTGCAAAGCAAAGGACAAAATGTACCAGTAGGATGCTGTGCAGCAGCATTGCTTCCAGGAGGCAGCCTTCTTCCAGATCTTGTCCCTGGTGTGTCACTGCCAGAAGAACACAACCAACATGCTTTAATGAAGAGTATTGGCAGTTGGCTGGAAAATAAGAAACTGTATTTATTTTTTCTGCAACACCATTTGGACTCGAAAGATTATATATATTTAAGGGGGATTCCTACCTACCCTACCAGCCTTGACGGCTTCAGCCCCTGCCTTCAGTGATCCCTTTCAACTCCAGAGAAAACTGCTGGGTATTTTTTATTCTCTCTTCCCCCCCCCTCCCCCTCCCATGCAGATAAATTCAAGCATTCGGTTTCCAGTGAGTCTTGTGGATAGTACTAATGGCACAACTGGAGACACAGTGGAAGGGAACAGAGATGCAGGAGTGAAAAAAACAGTGACTGGAGGCAAGAACTTCCCCTATTGGTATCGCTTCCTAAATAAACCTGTGGAATTGTACCTAGAGCTAGCTTTACATTACAGCTGAGCAGCTGGTGAGCTACACAGTGCAGCAGTGGTTACCTGCATATTTTCTGGGTTTCACAAGTGGGCTCCACAGCCTGTGCTGTGTTGGTACCATGACGACACTGCCTGTGGTACCTGGAATAGCTCGTTTAAATATAGCCTGTACGTGGTCTCAGTGAGCTCTGGTCTGTACAAACATACAGCAAGGTATAATTATGGATTAGCCAAATCCAAAGCTAAACATTATTTTAGGGGTGCCTTTCTTTCACTTCCACAGTCACTTTTACAGTCATATCTGTGGCTTGTTGACTTCAATCTGCTTACATTCAAAACACACCTGCGAGGCAGGGAGGCAGCCCTGTCTGTGTCCTGTAGAGGGAGATCTGAGAAGTCCTCGAAAGCAGCAAGAATCACTTGGACTTTACTGCTCCCACCTTTGTGAGGGTAGCCACCTGCCACAGCAGAGCTGATGGGCTGTGTGGCTCTTCATCCCTCAGCACAACCCTGGGTATCTGCACTTCAACTACCGGTGAGGGCGGCCCAAACTACTCTGACTTTCATGCAAAGTGGACAGGGAACAGGAGCTTTTCTGCCCTGCAAGCTGGGATATAGAAGGTGACAGCCTCCAGCCAGCTGTGCTGGTGGCCACTGTGGGGGAAGCACAGTCCTGAAATGCCAGATACAGGGTGGTTCACTATAGGAGTTTGGGGTGGAGCAGAATGTTAATGTACATCATCCTCAATCACCAAGCGCGCTCTCCCTCAAGAAAATTAAGCCTTCCCTCTGAAATCCTTGTCAATGTTGTAATTATGAAAGTACAGATATTTTAAATGCAGTTGAGTAAATGTGAAAGTACTGGTGGTTTTGTGCTTTAAAAGCTCTGCATGTATTTATATAATTGGGTTATAATCATAGAGGAGGAACTGAAAGCCTCACCCTGCAGTGATGGAAATGTCAGAGGTATCCTCATCCCCACCTTTGCCAGAAGTTGTCTTGGGTGAGTTGTGCAGGCCATGGAGTAGCCCTGAACAAGGTATGAGAAGTCCGCTTTTAAAAGGTTGGGGGTTTGGCTTTTTTTAATCAGATTACTTTGCAAATCCCATTTGGAATTTGCTGCATACATTATATTGCTGGCCCTTGCTTTGGAATAACTGGCATGTAGTGAGATGTTTAAAGTCTAGAAGATTCACCTCTGGGATATGCTGAAGTGATCTTCTTTTCAGAAGCTGCTGTAGAGCTTCTTCTCCTGTGAGGAATAAGTGAGCAAGTAGGGGTGGAGGCACCAGAGCCATGGGCAGTGTGTGAGCACGTGGGAGGTCAGCAGGGGCAGAGCTGCCCTGACTGACCAAGATTCTCTTCAGTAACTGGACAGGGGCTGAAAGCACAGAGGCGAGATTACGTAGTGGGACTGTTTCCTCACCAGGGAGCTTGGGCTATCTCTGTTGCATTATTGCTGACTTCCCACCTCTTGTGTTCCTGTATTATAGAAGGACTAATCTCCTGAAATTTCCTAAGGCCTGGAGAAACTTCAAACTTGCAAAGCATGGGCCAAAGAGTAGCCATGCTCCATCACTATGCACGTAGTTATGCTCAGGTTAGAGTTCATCTGCCGTGCATGTACCTTTTTAAAAGCTTTTTTACTTTATTGCAATTTAGCTTTCAATGTGTTTAATGACAAGTATGTGCTGAGATCTACAGATATTTCTTCCAGTATAGTCTTTACATCACAACTTGAAGCATGTGAAGGAATGTGCAAGCTCTTTGGAGTGGTACTTCATTTTATCCCTATTCAGAAGTGGAAAAACAGGCAGGGACAACAAAGAACAAATTTAATTTTCCTTCTTAAACCTTGCCAGTTCAGATAATCTTTTGCTGAGTTTCCTGATGTGGCTATTCGCATTCTTTCGTGAATTCGACTGGCTTTAGCAGCCTCCAAATAAAACATGGTTCTATGGAGATTTACCTTGGCCCTGTTCTTGCTTGGCGACATGAGACACAGAGCAGCCAACTGGTTCGGCTCATGCTACATGTCCTCTTCCAGCAACTGCTTCCTGTACAAGCTCACTGCTCTCCAAATTAATGGGATTGTTGCTTTAGCTCAAGATGTAGGAGATTTAATTCTGGTGTTTGTGTCAGCAATCAATGAAGTCAGGAAACAGCCTTTACAGAGCATTCAAAAGCCCTTTTATTCTGAAAGAATCAAATCCAGGCTTCTGTTAAATGCAGTAAAGGCTGCCATCATTAAAACATTGAGGCTGCAAGTTTGGCCACAAAAATGTTACCGTAATGCAGTTGGTATTCAGTCCTTTCTGTCAGCGCTCCCAAGTCTGGCTTTTATTTATTTATTCATTTTCACGAGTCTCATGTTTTTCAGGCATTCCATAAAGCCTCGGTGTTTACAGGCATCTTACTCATCTGAGAATCTCAGCTTCCAGTTTTTAAAGATCTGCTATTAGCCCTCATGGACAGGGAGGAAACAGGAACGTGTCATAAGGCTGATCCTCACAAGCAAAACCAGAAGGTTCATAAAACCCCACATTTAAAAAGTCAAATCTTGTTTTTTTAAGAGGATCTCGTGAACCTGGGCTCCCATTTATGTGTCTCAAGTGCCTGGCGTAGACTCCACTAATGATCGCCTGGGTCAGGCCATGATTCGAGTGCAGAGGTGCTGTTGGATGCAGAGAGCCAGAGAGCTCTGCAGCACTCGGATGGATTGGGGGAGGAATCCTCTTTCCATTTATTATATTCCTGTTTTAACTTCATGGCCCTGTGCACCCTGTTTACTGTGTGTTTCATAAAGGCCAGAGGACTCATCCCATTGCTCTGAAACTGCTTAGCCCAACTTTGGCTGGATTTACTGTTCAGGAAGAACAAACGGTTGCTTAGGAAAGTGCTGTATTTAACGAGAGAGCCGGGCTGGACTTTTTTCAAACAAACAAATAAAAGCCAGCAACTCTCAGCTTGGCATGGACTTTGCCGTTTTGTTTGTTGCATCACCCCATTGTCTTGTTTATCCCTTCTTTTTTAAAAATGTCTTTGTTATAGCATTTCACAACCCACAGCCTGCATACTGTAATTCCTGAAGGAATGCAGAGCATAATGAATACTGCATGATCACAAAATAGTTCACCTCGTGCAAAGCTGTAGCAAAAAGCGATGCATCATGGCTGTTTCCCAATCTTCCCTGCTTCACTGGTTTCTTTTATTTGGAGAAATTCTTTTCGCTTCTCCTCACAGGGGCTACCCAGCGAGAGGAAGTGTAACCTTTCTCCACCCAGCAACAAAAACGCAATGGTTTTGGAGCACTTCCCACTTCCATGATGTCCCTGTACAGCACAGCACAGCAGTTAAACTGGCCAGTGCCTTCTTCCCTGGGCTTCAGGCGGGGGAGCTGGGATGTGGAGTTGCTGGATGGCCCACACAGGGCAGCACATGGAGAAACAAACCCCGCCTCGTGGGAGAAACAGTTTTTTGCCAGCCTGCCGGAGTTAACAGCAGAACTTTTTAATTACGGCTTTTCAGCACCTATCGGGAAATATTCATTAACGTCTCTTTTTTTTTTTTTTTTTTTTTACATAAAGGTCGGGTTGCTAATTTTAAAAGTTTCTTATTATTAAAATTTTTGGGGAGGGCGGGAGGGGGACACACATACTTTTCAGAAGCGCATCCACACACCGCGATATTAATTAACGGTTTATTTTTAAAAAAAATAAAGGGTTTTATTCTTAGCGGTCATGGCCTGCGGGGGTCCCGGCAGCGCCGGGCGGGGGCGCGGCCCGCGGGCGGTTCCGCGGGGGCCGCGGCCAAGCCCGGCCCTGCTGGGCTCGGCTCCCCGGGCGGGCCCGCCCGGGGAGCCGAGCCCAGCAGGGCCGGGCTTGGCCGCGGCCCCCGCCCGTCGCAGCGCTGACGCGGCGGCGCCGGCGCAGCTCCGGCCCGGCGAGCGGCGGGGGCGGAGCGCGGCCCTGGGGCGGCCGAGCCGAGCCGGGCCGAGCCGGGCGGGCGCGGCGGGCTGAGGTGAGCGGGGGGGCGGCGGCGGAGCTCGGCCCGGAGCTCGGCCCGGAGCGGTGGGTCCCGGGCGCTGCCGGCGCGGGGCTGCGGGCGGGCGAGCGGGCGGAGGCCGCGGGGTGCCGCGTGTGTGGCCGCGCTGCCTTCCCGGCCCTGCCCGCCAGACCCGGCCTCTCGCCCCGCCGTGCCCGCCTGCCTTGGCGCTGCCGCGGGGGTTTGGCTGGGCCGGCGGGAGCAGGGAGTCGGATCCAGGGAGGTTCTCTCGCCCACCTGCAGGCTGGGAGAGTCAGGGCTGGTGGGAAGGTGTAGAAGGGGGTTTTCAGTCGTTGCAAGAGCGTTGTTTCTCCGTCACGGGGCTCTCGACCCCGCTGCTCTGCCCCCAGGTTGTGTTTTGCTCACAGAGACCCCCAGTCTCTCTGTAGTGTAAGCAGAGCACCGATCTGCTCCGGAGCTGTTTGGCCTCCCCTCCCGGAGCCCTCCCAGGCTGGGCTGTGCTGGCCTGGGCGGGCAGGGCCGGGAGCTCAGCAGTGGCATCTGTCACAGGTGGGTGCTGAGCCAGGGGACAGGCACAGCAGAGCTGGGCTCCTCAGCTCAGCACTGGGTTTAACTAATGTGCTCTCCCTGCCCCCATTTCCAAACTCCACTTGTTCTAGCCCAGACTTTTCTAGCTCAGAAGAGAGGTGGATTGCCTTTGGTAATACCCTCATCTCTTCTTTATCTCTGTGTGTCGCTAACACAAGAAGATAAGTCGTCTTTCAAAGCTGCAGCAAAATATGTTTAATACGTGTGATAATACACTCTTTCTTAAGGAAAGCTTTTGGAAAGCATCAACAAGACCCTTGATCGCAGATACACGAAAGGACCTCGAATGAAATCTCAGTTTCTGTTCCCTTCACAGAGCTTGGACAGCAAAGTTTGATAGACTTTGTTTCAGCTACTTCCATGCTTCTGCCCTGCAGAGGTATTCAAGGAGGAAGGGACAAAGCTTGAGTTAATGAAAGCTTTTCCATTAAAGTCAGTCTAAAGTCTGAAGATTAAAAATTATTTATGTCCTTATGCCTTACTTGTACAAAAGGAACTTTGGGTTCTTTAATATAGAAAATTTGTATCACTCTGATTTGTGACAGTATTGCTCTTAACTGTTCTATTATCTAATACAGTATCTCCACTAATGTAGTTTAGTCCAAAGGAGGATGTTTCCACAAGTAAATTATAGTCACCTTACCAAAAACAAATATAGTAGATGTGTAGCCAGCTGGGTGAGACAGTGGTTTAGTTCCCAAAAGTGCTGGTTGAAAGAAGGGAAGAGGCCATGGTAAGTGCAGGAGTTGAAGCCTTGCAGTGTGACCGTGAGGTCATCAGCTGCATGCCCTGCCATGTTCCTGTGAGTCAGTATCTTCGGACTTTGGCCATTTCTGAATGGTCTTGTGCTAGTGAGTTATGTTTTGTCAAAGTGCCTTTCCCTAGGGCTCGTTTCACCTCTGGAACAAACTGTTTGGTTAACAGTTCACGGAACTGTGCTGCTCAGAAAAGGAAGCAAAGAGGAGGTAGTTCCCAGTGCCCCGAGTCTGTGGCAGTTCTGCATGTGCTATTTGAGTCATTTCAGACTTCCTGACCTTATCAGCTTAGGTCTGGCCACATGGTGGTTTGAAGAGAGACACCCTTCCCCAGCTTCCTCTCTCCCTTTCCAATTTTGGATTCCGCTTGGGGGAGGAAAGGCATCTCCTTGCACAGCATGTCCCAGCTCCACAGTCTCAGGCTGGCTTTCTCTTTCCTACTTAATTACTGTCCTTGAGAGCTGCCCTGATCTCCATCAGTAAAGGCTGGACTCGGTGTTGCAAGAACTGCTGCCTCCCATGGGAGCAGGTGATGCATGAGTTACTCCTACTCCTGCCTGCACAAGGCCACGCTCTCTAGGCTGTTTGCTTTATTTGGGTTACTGGTGCTCTTCAAAACAAGCCTCTTTTATAATTTGTGTATCTGTATTAAGATCTGGGCACCCTGGGGTTAAAAAATAAGAACCTAAGAGTTGGCAAGTGAGCTGTATGTGTTACCATTTCTATGTGTCTCGTGATCCTCTGGGCACCTGGATGCAGCAATAGACAGCTTGTGGTGATCTAAGCATGGAATAGCTCTGCTGCAGTGCTCTGGGTTTGTTCTGCACTGGCGTAGGCAAAAGGTTTCTGTGGTCTGACACTTCAGGTGTCATCCAGAAACCTTTGTTAGGGTCCTGTCAGCAGCATTTGCTGGGACTGCCTTTCCCCTTTCTGTGCTTTTCATTTAAAACCTGGGCTTTCTAAACCTGCTAAAAATAAATAGGAGTTCCAAGGACTAATGAGTGGTTAAACTCTAACAGGCTTAAAATGGGTGAAAGATGTCAATGTATAGTCTTTTCCAGTACTCATCTTTACTGAAGATGATTTAAGTTACAGCCATGTAAGTTGAAAATGGAGTGAGCTGCTAATTGCTTTAGCGAAAATACAGCATTATCTGGGCTGGTTTTGTTACTCAAAGGATCAGCATCCTCATGGTCCTCCATTCCTGTGCAAGTGTTCAGTGAATTTTAGGCCAGCTTTGTGTAAAGTTGATGCAGTCATACTTTCTTGTAGCTTACCAGAGCTCTTGGGGTAAGTATCTATTGTGAAAATAGTGGCTCACAAATATGTTTTTAAAAGATTTGAGTACAAAGCAAATTTATAATCAGAATCTGCTGTTAATACAGAGCTGTAACAGTTTGGGGTCGTCTTTTTCCAGTGGAAAAGAGTTTGTGCCTTTTAATATTCAGCTATTTGCAGATGGTATGTCAGACACAGCTGAAGGGGGTGAGGACTAATGATGTTGAATTCCTCTCACGTGTGGTCTTTGGGAGTTGTACATCTTGGGTTTAAGGTTTGCTGGTATAGTATTGGCAGCATCCCTGTGCAGTGGAGGTGTGGCTTACCCCACCCAAATGACTCTCTTAATGGTGCAAGTTCCTCAGCTTCGGAGTTTTTTCATCTGTGTCAATGTATGGGGCAAATATGCCACTTTCTCTTCAGGTTCTTAAACTTTGGGTGGTGCTTTATTTCTGGTCTGGCACTACTTGCTTCAGTTCCTTTTCTAGTAGTGCACTTTTAAGCTCTTCTTTTGCCTTGCTGGTTTATGGTGCCAGGTAAAACTGTTGATACTCCTGGTATCCAGGACTGGATCCTGGTATTCCACCATTAGCACTGGTGGAAAGTAAGTTCTTTGAACAGTATCTTGAGTTAAATATTTGTGTATGGATTATCTTTTGTCACTCTAAGTAACACTGCTGTTAGAAAAGTGAACTGTTTCAGCTCCTAGGACTGGGATTAAGGACTTGAAGGCCTGTGCTTTAAAGGAATCCAGACTCAAAAGTGATTATGTTTGAAAAGGGAGAGGGAAGAGCAGGAATTAAATGGCTTAGTCAGACTTCTTTCCCACTCTAAGGAGAAACTTTTTTGTACAGAGAATATTTATAATGTGGAGAAATTGATGCGTGCGTCACAGACAACCATGAAGTATGTTTTCATCTTATGAGTTATAATATGAAGTTTTCTTTAATGATCTAAGTTAAAAATTAAGCAGAGGAACAGGTGGGTTGAGTAGCTTTCCTATTATCTTCCTTCATTGCAGTTTCAGAAGCTGGGTTTCATAACACTGATGAGCAAATAATTTATTTTGATTGCTGTTGCAATTGAGTCGAAACTGTGGCACCACTCTTGTCTCAGTTCAGGTTTGCCTCAGGTCCTTTTTGTTGTCAGGACTTATCTTTGCTAGAATCTAGTTCAGTGTTTTTCTCACTGTGATCAGTAGTTCAGTCTCCAGTGGGTGAAGCAGTGGCAGTTCCTGTGTACTCCAGGCTGTTCAGAAAGCCTGTGGTGGCTCAGCCTTCTTCCACGTCCCAAGCAGTGCCCATGGAGGCTGTTGGACTGGGCTGTGAGAGACCAGGGAGGAAAGTAAAGACTCCACAGATTGCAGAGCCTCAGAAGCAGCAAAACCATTGCCTTGATCTGCTGTGCTCTCCTTGGAGTACTGAACACTCACTGTGTTGGCAGAAGCCCCTCATGTGTGAGGCTCTGTTGAGAATCTGCAATTTTGCTGCATTTGTTTGTTTTACCTGGATGAAGTGTGGCTGGAATAAGCTGTCCTAGCAGGACTGCGGTTTGGCTGATGTTTACTGGGACACTCAAGGAATATTTTGTAGGTACTGCACACGATAGACAGACATGCAGAGTTTGTAGTAGAAAAGCAGGCATAAACTGCATCTAGTGTAGAGAAATATGTAAACGCTAGAAGAGCAAAGTGTGAGAAAATTGGCATGATGAGATGTTATGTCCTGGTTTTTATGATAACTGGGTTGTATGGTGACTAGTAGTGGGTTACAAAAGAGCCAGACCCTGTTGCAATGCTTTTATACTGTTAGACTGTACTGCCTTGCACATCTCTGTCAGTGGAGGTGACCAGGTTTTCTTCTATTTGTAGGTCTAGTGAATTCTGGACAGTTTTCTTTATGATGGGAATACCTTATCCTAGTGATAAATTATATTCTTCCTCCTCTGTGCATTTCCACTCCCCTCTCACTCCTCCACAAAAAAATAAATTTAAAAAATGCCAACTGCTGTTTGTGTCTGAGTAGAGTGAAAAATGCAGAAGAATTCTTAAATCAGACTCTGAATACCTGGTTTTGCAGGTGTTTAGCATTTGTATTTGCCTTTAAAATCCAATTGTTGATGTTTTATTTGCATTTATAGGCTCCTTTATTTTTAGCTAGGTCATACCTATGTGTAGTGATTAGGACAGACATGGCTAAGGCAGAATAAGTCAGAGAGGCAGGACAAATTCTATTTCAAACTGTTGTGAAATACAGGATGGGATGTTCATGGTGCGGGTGGGGCACTTTGCATGAAGCATCCCATGTTGTGTGTGCAGCTGATGCCTTCCCCTTGTGTTTCTGGATTCTTCTAACTTGGAATTGATATTTTTAGTTATGTAGTGAAGATAAACAGATATTACTATGCAGGCTGTGTACTCTTGTGTAGTCTCAGATATATCCTTATTGAACACTTTGAGATGCAGGTTTTTAGAGGGAAAAGGGATTTTTAAGATTATTAACTGGTATGCTGCACTGGTATTGCTTTGTTAATGCAAAGATAAACACTGATAATACAAGCTGATGGTGTGAGAATATAGAATGGTATGGAAGGAGGTGTTGCTCTTGTTAGAGAGGAGTAAACTCTACCATTTATTTAGTGAGAGAATCAAAATTTCTGTGGCAGTTTGTGCATTGTTGTTCCTTTAAAGGAAGATTTTGTGTGAGCGTGTGAAGTGTCTTCAGAGGCTGCTCATGTTTATTGCACAAGGGCAAGGGTTGGCTTTGTACAGTGCTGATGGAGTCGGTGCCTGCACACTCTTGTTGATAACTTGGACTTCAGAGTTTTGTTTTTCAAAAGCCTTTTGAGGCAAGGTAGTTAACTGTGCTTGCCCTACAGCGTGGGCAGTGAGAGAGATTTAACCTCAGGCTAGAGAGTCAGGAATATATACAGGGAGCATGGGATGGGTGGGAATTACCTGTTTGCTTTACCTTTAGGGAAGGTAAGTGAGAAAAGCCTGTTTACACACAGAACCATTGCAGCTACTGCTTGGTTTTCCTTTTGGTGCAAGTGAAAATGTCCTAGGGAATGTGGGATTGTAATTGGAGGAGGGGTGGAATTTCAGACAGGCATGTGGCCTGAGGAATGTGCCTTAGTGTTTTGCTATTATGTTACACTCCAGATAACTCTGAATTAATTTCCCTTATTCTTTCAGCTGTTTTTCAGGATCATAATGCAGCAGAAAAATGAAAAGCCATAGAAGACATTTGCTTTGGAAAAGAAGTCAGTTGCTGGCCCAGTCTGGAAGATGGACCACTGTTTTCAGGAAGCTTGGGAAATACTGCTTCCAAAAGCAATTTTTCCTAACTTAGAAGAAAATACAGAGTGCTCAGCTATTTGTGAGTTTAAATCCCAACAAACTGTACAGAAGACTGCAGTGCAGAAGGAAGACACCTGAGCTCCAAAGCAGGTGGGCTCCTCATGTGCTTCTAAATGCAGAATCCTGTCCAAAATCTACATTTGAATCATGCAAAACTACTGAGAGCAAAAAGATCCCGTCCCTATTGCAGAGCTGAAAGCCCATCCGGAGAAGCAGCAAGGAAACTCAACAATGAACCCTTTGAGAGCGAAGATCCCTTGAATGAAGAATTTGAAACTGTTGCTGTTCTTAATAGCATCTCTGGCAATATCCATTATGTCTCATGTGGTACTGTGGAAGGTTCTGCCTTACCTGTAAAGAAAGGTGGTTTTGTCTGTAGCGGGGAGGAGAGAAATAATGGTGAGGGCAACACAGTCCTGGTAGTTTTAAACAACTATAAAAGGAAATGCTGTTGCAAAGGGAGTGGAATGGAACTTGTGGCCCCTTGACAACTCTGAAGAGGTCCAGATTTAATCATCATACTGTAAAAAAGAGATTTTTATTTATGATGCATAAGAAACTTTCTATGGTTAGGTTTCGGTATAGAATCATAAAATCCCCGAAACTTCGAGCAAGAGGCAAGACTTGCAAACTGAGAAAAATAAGGCCAAGGTGGGTGAAGAAAGCTATAAGGGACCATCAAGAGACGCTTCAGTGGGATTTTGAAAGTGGAGTGTGTAAGTGGTTTTCCTACTGGAAATCTAAAAGTAGCCGTCTCTGGAACCGGTACAGCTTATCAGATATGAACAATAATACACCCAAATCTTTAGGTGAGGAGAACGAAATCTGTGCACCCGAGATCTGCCGTACACAGGACGCGTTACCATCTGCTGAGCCGTGTTCTGAGGGTCCAGGACCCGGAGGGCAGGATGGCAGAGTGGACGCTGCCCCACCAGAACTGCGTGTTAGAGCTTCTCCAGAGGCAGAGGCCTTGCACCAGGTGGAGACCAATGGGGCTCTGTCAGGGGATCATTGCTCTGACATTTTTGTCCCCGTGACAGAAAAAGAAATCGCTGTTTCAGATCAAGAAGGTGCAGAATCCAAGGAGGTTATGGGTGTAGATGGAATGACACTGTTACAATCCTCCGTGCAGGATTCTGTTGTTGATGATAATTTTGCAAATGGACCTTTATCCATGGAGCTGACACAAAATGAGGACAGCTCTAGCCAAATGGAAGTAGAGGGCTCCTTGGACATCTTTAGTTCAAAATTACTAGATCACCCTTACTGTAAAAGTCCTCTCGAGGAGCCTTCACCGGAAAGCACAGGACTGAAATCAGGAACTCGGAAGGGAGGCAAAAGGAACAGTCAGAAAACTTCCCAGGTGGCCGATGAGCAGTTGGCAACGTGGCTTTGTGGTACAGCTTTTACATATCTTAGGGCATCCAGGAGTTGCTGAAAACTGCTGGCTTTTTTGTTGACTTTACATGTTGCATTAATTCCTTTATAAAAATGGTTTCTTATCATGAATTATAAAGGCTGCTTAGCATAACACTTGATGAAGTGAGGCTACAAAGAGGAGAGCTGCATGAGGGAAGGACAAATCAGTGGTTATCTGACAAGCTATTCTGAGAGATTGTTGAGGGGTGCCTCTGCTTATTTTGTTTTAGAGAATACAATGTAATTTAATTGGAGTCTTTGTGGAAAACTGTTGATGGAAATTTTAAATGTCTGATGTGGTTGCAGAAGATGATTCAGTTTTTTAAATGTTTTAAATGGTTTTGAATTATTACTCTTAATCTTGAAAATCCTAGGTGTTCTAATACTTCCACCCTTATCCTCTCTTCTCTTGATCTCTCTTAGACTGAAACTAAATCTCTTAAACTCAGGTTTCAATAGCCAAATATTGTTCATTGTCTCTTAGCTTTCTCTCTGATTGTTCATAAAGTAGGCTTAATGAATCTTATTAGGCAATACTTTTTAAAAAGACAAGACTAGAGTTAGCAAAGGTTCAGCAAAAAGGCTTTGGGATTTTTTTACTCAGTGCTGAGCGTGCAATATTTGATAGTCTCTCTAAAGAGGAACATGATAAAAATAGTAATGGTGTCTCATTTATGTATAGCAGCATACTACACACATAGTAAGGAGCAGTAAGCTAACACGTTGTGCCATCTGATACCATTAATGTAAGTTCAGTGATGTTCTGACAACTGAACTCTTCCTTTGGAGAAATTGCCTTTATAGAGCCCCATAAACCTGAAGCTGGTGTTAACTACTGTTAAAGGGATTGTTTGAAGTTTGACATGCTCTGATTATTCTGCCCACCTTTTTCTGCCCACAGTTTTGCAATTGTTTCTCTAAAGCAAAATGTGAAAAAGGAGACAGTGAACCTCAAAAGAGGATTTAGCTTTCCACATCCATATCTGCATGGGAGATGTGTGGGAGGTGTTTCTCTGTGACTGGCTTTACGTGATCCAGCAAGGACCAGACACTGAGAAACTGAGAGGAACTGTGGTACCCCAGTGAACAGACCACTTCTGCAATAGACATTAGAAGTTTGCCCATCAGAAAAATGGATGTAATCTTTCTGTAACAGTCAAGAACCAAGGTTGTATCAGAGTGGCAGAGGTCAAGTTTTTGTGGTCTGGTAGGCAGTCATGTTCTTCTTCCTGGGAGGCCTGAATAGTTTAAAAAATAAAAAGACAAACAGCAAATGCACTAAACTTTCCCACACTTGACAATTTTAAGAGAATTCTTACCTAACCTCTGCATGAAAGTAGGTGAGACCAATTTCCATTTTCTTCAGAGCTGAGGTTTCCTCTCAGAGGATCGAAGCCAAGTCTACACTACATACACATTCATACTGTTAGTATAGCACTTCTGAGTTTTCCTAGCTGAAAAAGCTGTAAAAGAAAAGAATTTTAGTTGTGGTATAACTGTGTATAGGAGTTCTTGTGTGTTTAGGTGTGCTGTTAATATTAACTGCACCCTAAAAGATATTGCTAACCTGGCAAGAGTTCCTGGGGTAGAAGCTTGAAGGAGATGTGTTAGGGCTGCTCTCAAGTTTTGAATTTCTCCGCAGCAGCTGAACTTGGATGTTAATGGGCTGCACTACTTAGTGCATTGTGATGTGCTATCAGGTATCAAACAGAGCCCCGTGGTAAACCCTGTTCGTGATGGGTATCTGAGTTTGCACCAGGGCTGAACTTTGTATTTCTTCCTTGAGTTACACCAGCCCAAGCGAGGTCAGAGTCTAGCTAGAGGTCTCCTGGAGCTCTGCTGCTGTTAGTTGTAATGACAAGAACAATTCTTCCTCAGTGTATTGAATGAAAAGCTTTTTAAATTTTTATATAGTAAAAGGGAATAAGGTGCAGTCATAAGCACCGTGTGTTGTCGATCTAGACTGCTAACCTGAGCGAGAAATATCCTTCCTGTCACAGTGTACTGAGATGTAAGGGATAAAAGTTGTTAGGCAAGTGTGTGGCAGAGTTGCAGGAAAGGTTATCTTCCCATGAAGAATGTTTTCCTTGTGGTCTGATCTCGCTCTTCAATCCTCCCTGCCATCCTTCTGTCACACTTGTTATATCTTCACTGCTTTTCTTGACTCATTGTGTTCTGGTGGGGTTTTTTTGGTCTCTCTCCTTCCTTTTTTTATTCTTAGTCCTGTTTTTCTGGCACTTTTTTTCTGTCAAATGTTTCTCTCGTCTTGCTTCTTCCTATCCTGATCTTGAAAAGTTTCCAGGAACTATTGTTAAAGCCTTAGTAAGCAGAGTGTTGAACATTGCACTGTGTAGTGATGCTCTCTGCCATCACACCCCAGCCTGAGAAGAGTCCTGGACTTTGCATTAGTGCAGTTTCCCTGGGCTCTGATCTCAGATCCAGCTTTCTTTACACAGAACATGTGTTTTCCGCTGCATTTGAAAATTTATTTTCAGAAAGCTGGACAACTTGGTCTTTTTTCACTTGTTCGTTAGCAAGTGTTGAATACCTGTTCTCTTTGGTTCTCAAAGTGGTTTTGCATGCTTGTGTGGAATTTCTATCTCCAGTGTTAGAGTCTTGTATTTGAGGAAAAAAAAAATCTTGTTTTCTAAGTTTTTTAATTCCTCCAGCATTCATCTCTTCATTACTTCCAAGTTAATATCTTTTGTTTCTGCTGTTGTGGTTGCCCAGTGCTTTCCTGGGCAATGGCAGGCTGACATGGCTGTCCACGTCACCTGAAATGCCATCCCTAGGATACAAGGGTGAAGGAGTTTAACTTGCTGGCAGTCTGTCTGGCATCTGTTCCATTCACCATGGTGGCGGCAGTGGAACTGAGCAGGCTGGAAACACTCTGCCAGCTAAGGCTGCCTGCATTTGAGAAGGGTAATTCTGCCTGCCAGAAGGACAGGATACTGGGGTTTCAGTGAAACCTGTTGCAGGAACCGATAGCTTTTCATGTTGCAGTAAAATGATTTAAGTTTGTTGTAGATATGCGTACGCGTAGATTTGTGTATATGTGGCAAGAACGGGGTCTGATCTTTTCCTGTAAAGCTGAGTGATCAGATTCACACATTTCTATTTTTGTCCTTCCTCCCCTACCCCTACTTTTACATAATACTGCCAATTTGAGCTTAGTTTTCTTAAATGTATACTTGGCATGTGTGGTGCTGTGTGTTGGTTGGGTGCGGAGTGATTGCTGCTTATACTTGTAAGAACTGACTGATTTGTTGGGCTGGTGGACTCAGAAGGTTTTTATATGTTTGCACTTTCATTTTTTCTGGTATATTTAAAGGATTCCTAGATGAAGTTATGAAGAAATATGGCAGTTTAGTACCACTCTGTGAAAAAGATGTCATGGGAAGATTAAAAGAAGTCTTTAATGAAGATTTCTCCCATAGGTGTGTAACACATTCTACACTTGGTAAAGGACAAATTGCTTGCATTTCTACTGCATGCTCCATGTCTAACAACTAGCAGAACAGAGGTCTGTTTAACATGACCTTGACTTAATTTTTCTCTACGTTTTCAATCCTGTTTTAGAAAGCCTTTTATCACCAGGGAAATAATGAAGTATCGGGAAAAACATCCAAAAACCTCCACTTGCAATTTCCGGGTCTTCTATAATAAGCACATGCTAGATATGGATGATTTGGCTACACTGGAAGGCCAGAACTGGCTGAATGACCAGGTCAGAAATGCTTGATGTTCATGTGCTTCTCTAGCCCTTTTTAGCCCATTTGTCTTTGAGTATCAGTTGTGCATCTTCTGCTAACATTACAGGTGGACTATCCTTACTTTACATTTGAGAAATAGAAGGAATGGTGGGCAGCTTTTAGAGTGACAGGTGCAGTAAGTCTGGAAGCTGTGAGGTGTCACAACTAGACTGGTTGCTTTTGAAAAAATGGTGTTGCACTATTTTTATAAAGCAGTGACCACCCATACAGATTTTAGAAACTCCCCCATCCCCAAGCTTGAGCAGATTACAAGAACGACAAAGTGAAATAACAGGCTGTGGCCCACAGCCAAAAAACCGAGAAGGCTGCAGAACCCAGGGCATGCACCAGTAGATTTAAATTGAATTAAACTACGTTTAAGATTGAGGCAGACTTGAAGCAGCCAGTTGTGATCCCTCTTCAAGCTGGCCACTATTAGTTCCAGAGTGCTTGCCCTTCAGACCATGTTGCTGTAAAGGCTTCTCTTCTTATTGCCGTTTTAATGTGAAGGGTCCTGTGTTTTATGGGAACTTGTGAATTTGGGTCTTACAATATTATGCTGTATGTATTCAACTGTTTACTGACTTTTACAGATAATTAACATGTATGGTGAACTCGTAATGGATGCAGTCCCTGAAAAGGTGAGGGGGTTTTGCTATCGTGCAAATGTACTTAATGAGAGATTGAGAGGGAAGGGTGAGACTGAATTTCAGATACAGAATCGAGATTCAGCTCAATGATGTTCTGAGTGGTGTTCCTTTTCAGTGCTGTTGCTCTTGTTTCAGGAACTCATATTAGCTGTGGAGGTGGTCTCTGTGGTAGCCTAGTGTTACTGATGTACCTGTAGAAGACACTTGCCCAGTTTTCACCCATCACATTCTCCCCTGGAGGTTTCTGTCTCCAGCTTATTTACTTTTAAAGTGCTGCGTCCATGCCCTTGCTCACCAGTCTGGTGTTTCAGCTGAAATTTCTGATGAAGATGAATTTCTGCTGAGATGACAAACCATGAGTGTTAGCATCTGAACCATGCACATGAGCTGCTTGCTCTCACCCTCCCGCCCACCTTGTAGCTGTGGGGGCTGTAACAGCTCAAGCTGTGTCAGCTGCCTGGCTGGTGAATGTGAATTGATGTGGAGCTGCTTGGTTCCTTGGCAGTATTGACTCTGCAGGACTGTTTTGTGCATCCTCAACAGAATGCTTACTGCTTTGTAACTGCAGTGCCTGTTGGTGGCAGTTGAGAAAAAGAAAGCAAAAGAAAAAATAATCAAGAAAACAAGTTTCCCCCCCCCTTCTGTGACTAAATTTGCAGCAGTGACAATTATAAAAACCCATCTGTCTTCTAGTAAGGCTGTACAATTTTCAGGTGAGACCACAAAGGAAGAACCAAACAAAGCCATTCTTAGATTAGCTCAGCAGAATGTAACTCTTAAAATCTTCAAGCTCAGAAGAAAGTGCATTGTTGCTTTGACTGGGAGGTGATGGCGATTCTTCATTAGTATTCTCCGTACTTCCCGAGTGTGTGCTGGGGTTGGGCTAGTGGAGATTGTATCTGTTTGCTTGTGTCTGCTGTTTCTTCGTAGTGCATAATTGAAATCCTCATGGGAGGTTTTGTGCTGGTACCTCAGAATGTGGTTTTGAAGTCTGTTGGCATAGCTAATGGGTGTTAGACTCAGATGCAGAATTTTCTAACTATTTTTTTCAAGTAATAACTCAAGCCTTCTACCACCTCTACACTAGCGGAATTATTAAAAGCAGATGTTGCAGATTTCTATTTGTATTAATCTGTTCCTGTAATTGCAAGAAGCTAAGCACAGGGAGTAATAGTGTTAACCTGGAGCTATTTTTTTTTTTTAAATAAGCCTACATTTTTTTGTCATGAATGTAAATTTTTACTTACAAAATGGATCTGTCATACCTTAAAAATACTTTTCAATAGCAGAATCTTATTTTTGTTGGGAGCTGGTCATAGTAGTTGAATACAGAAGACCATGTTGTTGGACTAAATCTCATAAATGTTTTGATGAATTTTTCTTTTTTTTGTGTCTCAGCTTCCAGCAACTAAAGCCAGAAGTTACTCCCTTCTTCACCACCCCCACTTTTCCGGTCCAATGTTCTCTTTCTTGATCCCTGTAAAGAACAACAAAAACTATAACTCCTTATCATGGTGTTTTTCTCCCAAGTCTGTCCCCAACAAAAAAATTAAACATGATATGCCTGGAGATACAAAAATGTAAATATAAATGCTGCAGTGGCTCACATCATATATTATAGGGAAATAAGGCTTATTTTATTAGCTTGCTGAAGAGCAGCAATAGTTTAGGCTTGGCAAAGCCTCTGTTTGTCCCTACTGGGGTTCTGTTTCTAAACCTGCATTAAATATTGCCTCATTACAAGTTGTTTTGTATAAATTATCCTGGGGGAAGGGGAATGACTGTGCATGAAGATTTCTGTGCTCATTTCTCCTCTCTCTCTTTTTAGGTTCATTTCTTTAACAGCTTTTTTCATAGACAGCTCGTAACCAAAGGATATAATGGGGTAAAACGATGGACTAAAAAGGTATCCTTGTTAGTTCTCTGGTTCCATTGGGCTGGGCTGGGCTGAATCACTAACTTGAAACTGGGTTACAGTGTGTTATCTGCAAAGGATGGATTGGCAAAGGAGCTGTACAAATTGGGGAGAGCTTGATAAAAATAGTGTGGCACTGTTCAAGTTAGTATGGGGATGTTGTGAAAATGTACTTCTAATGGCTAAATCTTCAGTGGTAGGTTATCTCTTTGTGTATGTTCATGCAAGTTGTTAATTTAACTGTAAGAAATGTCTCCTACTGCTCCTGGCAGTTCCAGGTACACTAATCTGCAGGAGACCAGACTTAATTCTGCTTCTTCCTTTTATCTCAAACTGGCATTCTTTGACAAAATCAAGTTATTACTCTTGAATAGCACATACAGGTACTAGAAAGCAGAAATTAGAGACCCATAGTTAATAAGCCAAACTGTTGTTCTCATAGCAAGAACAGAATTCACCTTGCTTTCCAGAACCTGTACCAGATCATGGGTTATGATATTTTCAGAGGCATTTAATACAAAGAGAAATACTCTTTTTTTTCTATTAACATTTGTCCTTTCTAATATGGGAGATGGGGCAGGACTAATCAAGGGCCATGTCTGAATGTATGATCTTTCTGCAGAAGCACTTAAATAGCACACATCTGTGAAATGCTAGAGATGAACTCATTATCCAAATATAAAATCTATTCATATAATTTATTAAAAGTCTCTTTAAAGTGAGACAGAATATTGGTGCTAAATATTCCCAGATATTATTTTTTTAAAAGTTCTTTTTCTCCAGCAACCCAAGTTTTGCAAAAACCCCAGAAATGAAGGTAGATTCTGGAAGCAGAACCTGTATTGCTAGTGCTTCTGAGGAGGTACCAGATGAGAGCAGGATAGCTCTTTAGACTTTTACACTTAAAATTCTTGAAGAACCTCTAAAGCAAGATTGAGGACTAAGCAGTTTCTATGGGAAGGATTCTGTAAACTCCTTCATCCTGCAATATGAAATTAAGGGGAAGTTGTTTCTGCTCTTTAAACGCACTAGAATATTGCAATAGGTTTTATAAATGTGCTCTTCTGGGATACAGGATATCCTGTTCTGTGTCTTGCTGCAGTGGTTTGAGCTCCTGTCCCTTCTGGTCAAGGATCAACACTGGCACTTCTGATCCATTCTCATGCCATCTGACTCTCTGCTGTCTCAGTGAAGTGAATCTGGGTTGCCACCTTTCTTCCTGTACATCAAGTCTTAACTAAAGACCCTTCCAGCTTTTGGCTGCCTCTTTCCACTCTTCTGCTACAGGTTTGCACACCTGCAGTAATCCAACAACTAAAGCCACATGAGGACCCTTGAGTTTAGCACGGCTCTGCTGTTGCTGGACATCACAGAAGGTGTAGTTCATTTATCTTTTTCCAGTTTTCCTTTGTGGTCTCAGCTTGCTGCTGGCTGACATCCCTCTGCTTCTCTCCAAGAATGATGGATTGCCGTGTAGTGAGTGTGCTGTAATCTGGTCAGGAAGCGGTTGCTGCAGGTGGGAGCAGGGTTGATGCTTGTCATAATCAAAGGACTGTTGTGAGCAAGGCTCAGCTGATAACTGCTGTGAATGCTTAGGCCTTTTTGTCTCTTCGACTTCCCACTGTTACTCAAAAAATACACTTTCCTCTCCTACAAAAGACCTGTCTTTGCCAGTAGTGTTGCAATTATGTACTGGTCAAATTGCACAGTGCTTAAAAAAAAATAGGCATCTTCCCACAGGATGAGTTCATTTAGTTCAGCTTTCTATTTTTGCTTATTTTCTGGACCGTACCACCAAAACCCCAGCAATTAGACACCCGTTTTGAGAGGAGCTGGGAGAAGGAAGATCATGAAAGCCCTGGCTTGGCTGGCTTCCAAAAGCGTAAAGGCTCATCTGCCACACAGACACTGGGGGTGTTGCATGTGATCTGCTTGTTCTGTACTTCAAGACCTTCTCCCTTGTTTGCTTGCCTGTGACCACAGTACATCTGCTACAAAGTTTAGATCAAGAAAGGATGAATCTGCTCTACCATCTCCCCTTCCTTTTCTCTGCTCACCAAAGCATCGTGCGCTCCTTCTCTGCCTTCCTCTGGCAAGTCACAGAGCCTGTGTTACAGCAGGGGGAGTCAAACTGCACAGCTTGCTGGTTCTGTGGGGTGTTTGTAATGACAGCTGTTTCATAGAATTATAGAATGGTTTGGATTGGAAGGGACCTTAAAGATCATCTCACTGCAACCTCCCTGCTGTGGGAAAGAACACCTTCCATTAGACCAGTCCAACCTTGCCTTGAACTTCAAGGTCTGGGGAATCCACAACTTCTCTGGGCAACCTGTACCACTGTCTCACCACCCTCACAGTAAAGAATTTCTTCCTTATGTCTAATCTAAACCCTTATCCTATCACTTCATGCCCTTGTCAAAAGTCCCTTTTCAGCTTTCCTCTAGCCCTTTTAGGTAATGGAATGTACTATAAGGTCTCCATTGAGCCTTCTCTTCTCCAGGCTGAACAGCCCCAACTCTTTCACTCTGTCTCCATAGCAGAGGTGCTCCAGCCCTCTGAACATCTTTTTGGCCTTCTTTGGACCCCCTCCAACAGGTCCACATCCTTCTTATGTTGGAGGCCTCAGAGCTGGATGCAGTACTGCAGGTGGGGTCTCAGGAGAGTGCAGCAGAGGGGCAGAATCACCTCCCTCAACCTGCTGGCCACGCTGTTTGCGATGCAGCCCAGGATGCAGTTGGCTTTCTGGGCTGCGAGTGCACATTACTGCGTCGTGTTGAGCTTCTCGTCAATCAATGCCCCAAAGTCTGTTACCTGTCCACAAGGCAGCTCTGATAAAAATCTGCTCACACTGCAGGAGTGTCATTACTGACCTAAATTGGGGCTCGATTGTATTACCATCATTACCTAAGAAATCCCACTTCAATGTTGTAGTGCAACGTGAGCAGGATTTGCCACAAATACACTGATGACTAACTGTGGTATGTACAAGGTTTCTCAATCACTCTCTGGGCTGTAACTGTATTTTTTTTTTTGCCTACTAATAAATTGTTTATGAGATAAATGTGAGGAATGTGGTGAAAGAGCAGAGGGGGCAAAAGAAGACTTCAGTTACAGGGTGGCAGAGAGGAGACTTGAATACAATTAATCTTTTGCTTTGCTGTGTTCTGCCTGTGGAATTGTCTCTAATGTATCTTGTTGTTTTTCTTGCCAGGTGGACTTATTCAAAAAGACTCTCTTGTTAATTCCTATTCACCTGGAAGTCCACTGGTCCCTCATTACTGTGAACATCCCCAGTCGAATTATTTCATTTTATGATTCCCAAGGCATTCATTTTAAGTTTTGTGTAGAGGTAAGAGTGACAGCTGTGTCTGTGAAGTTTGAACTGTTTTCTTAAACAAACACTCCCCCCTTTCTTCTGTTCAGCCATAAACTTAAAGTGCATTATGTCTGTCATTGTCCTGCCGGGTATGAAATGAGAATCAGCGTGTGCTGCTGAGGAGTCTGAAGCACAGATCTTGAGGGTCACACCAGAGCTGGGAGTTGAGGTCAGATTGCCTATTGCCTAATTAGGCTGACCATGTAATCAGCACAGCTTTTTGGTGATTCTGTTACTCCTGCGAAAAGCAGGAGCTCAGAGCCCGGTTCTGTAGGGAAGAAGATGAGCTCCAAGGAGAGTGAGGGCCGTTCTTTCATCTGTTAAGGTACTTGTGTTTAGGAAATGATGAACTGTGGTTCTTTTGGGGGTAGGTTGCCTGGGCGAGAGAACAGGACTGAGATGCTGTAGTGTTGCCCAGTGGGGTTTACGTGTTACCGTGCTGTTAACAGTGTGTTGCCTTTTTCCTTGGCCTGCATTGGTACACACGGGGTGTTTGCCTCTGGTTATAACCCAGCAACCTTTAAAGTCTGCAGCCTAAACGCTGGAGTTAAATTATCAGTCTTCCTGGTAAAGAGCAGCCAGGAAATTTTTGCTGGGCCTAGCAAATTGTAATGACTTTCCTACAAAAGCTAATTTTGTCAACTTAATTGCTTGCTTGATGCAGCAGACCTCTACTTTTAACTGTGTGTAGTTGTTGGCTTACAGAAGAGTAGTAATTATTGTACCCAGGAGAGTTCCCAGCTAGGACTTCTGAATGAAGATAGTATGCCTGCTGGCATTTGCTGAGGATGAAGCTAATGTTTGTCCTGGGAGCAAGAGATCTCATGCTCTCCAGCTTCTGAATGTGCAGCGTAAACCAGGGGTCCCTCTCAGGAGCCCTACAGTCTCTCCTGCAGTCTTGCAATGTGCCCTCTCCCATCCCACTCCAGGCAAGGCATTTGTACCTAAATGTCTCACAAACATGAGACACTTTTATTGCTGCCCTTTCTAGGGGAAGGAGGGGAGCAATATCCCAAACTCCACTGTGATCCACACACTTAAGGTGAATATTTGTGTGCTACCGTGTGTTTAAATTGTGCTATAAAGCCCCAGCCTGTTTACAGAGAACTAGAAGGATTTGCTTAACCCAAGACCATAGTCTCATTTATCTTGCTTCCTTCCCTTCGCTTGTGTCAGCTTATTTTTTCCTGTATGTCACTAAAACTCTCCCTGGAGCTTTGTTGATTAGCTGCAGAACTCGGGCATTTTGTGTTGCGATTCGGGCAGGAAAATGTGATCGTATTGAGCGTAAGGGCCTTGGTGTCAGCCAGTAAGCCAGGAAGAAACATGTGCCAGGCTGCACCGTCTTTCTCTACACGTCTGGGAGCACTCTGACCTTGTGCCTGAGTGCCACAGCTAGTCTGGTATGAAGTACAGCAGTGGGGCTGAGGGGTGTTAGAGTTCCCCCTGATAGACCAAAATGAGCCTTGATGGTAGAAGGCACAAGTACCCGCCAGAGTTCATGTCTTTACCTCTAGATCTGAGCTCAGCTCCTAATGCTCATGTGAAATTTGTCCTCCTTGTCAGAAGGATACCAGACAAGATGGCAATGTCTTTCTCCTGTTCTTTAGCTGGTGAATAATATTCTTGCTTTCTTCCTTTCCTCTTTAAAGAACATTCGAAAGTATTTGCTGACTGAAGCAAAAGAGAAGAATCGCCCTGAGTTCCTTCAGGGTTGGCAGACTGCTGTGACAAAGGTAATAGCAGCATTTTGAGCCCTGGAATCTGACTTTGTGGGAGATTTCTTGAGGCTGCTTCTAAACCCATATATTTGTACAAGTAGTAAATGGGTTTTTGCTGCACACGTGGAGGGTGCTGGGAGTGATGCAGGTAGTTACACATGGGAATTCGAGCTCTCTTGCTCATTCAGCTCCCACCAGCTCTTTGCCACTTTCTGCAAGTGACTTGGTGATCTGAGCCTTTCTCTGGAAAATTATATATCGTGCAACAAAACTTGCAGCTGGTGCCCATATTGACACGAGGTCAAGGACTGAATGAGCTGGAGACTCAGCTTCCTCCCTTCTCCTGAGAGGGATGTTCTGAATGCCAAAAGGATGGAGTTTGGTGAGGCAGGGAACAGGCTGATGCTGCTACTGCTGATATTTTATGTTTGCTGTGGATAGAGGGCTTTGGTCTCCAGGGCTGTTTGTGGCACATTGCGTTTGATCGCAAGTAAACAAAGTCTGGCAACAATAAAAGGGAATAACTTGTGTGTAGTGTAAATGAGGGAATATGTAATTTGTGTAGCCATCCCATAATGGCTCCAAAGATATAAAACAGGTCATTGCACACTAGATATACTCCCAGCAGCTCCCTCCTCACACAGGTTTATTTTTAGATGCTGATACAATGATGAAATGATTCCTCTCTGCACTCATGCACAACCTGTGCATTCAGTTCGTTCTCCTGCATTCTGTGAGGCAGAAGATCTGGGAGTTGAGGAAAAACAATTACTTTTCCCCTTCAAGTGGTAGAAACATAACAGCACTAGTGTGTGGAACTTTTTAGCTCTGCATATCAAAATTGAGCATGTTTGAGGAAATAATGAAGGTTGGAAGTTATCATTTGAGACTGCCTTGTTCAGTCCTGTTGTCTGGCAATATACCATTCATCATGTTCTCTGAGGCCCTTTGCTGTGCTTGGGGGAAGAAGGCCACTGCTGGTAGCATGGGTGCTGAGAGTAATCTTCCTCTAGGCCTGTGTGACTTTGCTGATACAGTTTTGTCCTGAGTAAAGCAGATAATGCTGTACAAACATTTATTTAAACTAATTGAGAAGCTGTTCTGTGCAGGTCACTAAAAGAAAATAAACTTGAAATAAAGACTATTAATTTATTTTCTGTTCCACACTATATATTTTTCTATATGTTGGATGTTATTCTAACAAGGTGTTTGAGTGTCACCTTGCAAAATGAGAGATCAGAGTAAGTAATTGCAACTTCAGTTTCTGGTGCTGCAGAACAGCTCTGAGAACGAGACAACTGATCATTACGATGATCTCCTTTTGGACTCTAAGCAGGAATTTAAGAACAAAAGGATAAGTAAAAGGATAAAGATCTAACATGTCTCTGATTCTTTCTTTTCTTTTTAGTGCATTCCACAACAGAAAAATGACAGTGACTGTGGGGTTTTTGTGCTCCAGGTAAGAGAACTCTTTTTGACAATCAGTGGCCTGTATTGTTCATATAGTAAATGTTCTTTATTTCAACCAAGCCTTTTCCTTTTCCCCAGTACTGCAAGTGCCTCGCCTTAGACCAGCCTTTTCAGTTCTCCCAGGAAGATATGCCCCGAGTGAGAAAAAGGATTTACAAGGAGCTGTGTGAACGCCAGCTAATAGACTAATAAAATGCAGCCAACCTAATTTCTCTGGCATTTCTGACAAGTTGCAGCTGGTGTTTGTGTACTTGAATTTCTGAAAACTTCCAAGAATTTTGAGCGATTCTCAGCTGAGTGGTGTGGCCACTGTTGTTACCTCAATTTTTTGACAAGTTCTTTAACTGGCAGAACATAACAGAGCTGCCATAGAATATTCCTAATGTCAGTTTGGTTCTCTTATGTTCTTTCCTGTATTTAATATTTATTATCTCAGCATGCATATAAGCAAAGCATGCAACTAAAACCATAAAACTGTAGATTTGGTGCACCTTTGAGATGTAGCTAGAAATGACAAATACAGGTGAATTTGTCTGGAATCATAAAGATGCATGGTATGTTTTCTGATGCAATAATGCTTTGAATGTATCAAAAAAAAATAATCAATGCCATAAAAAGAACAGCTAGAACTATTTGGTAGTTACATTGTCCCTGTTGTGGCTGTACAATACTGAATACCACTTTTAGGGTGGCTAAGCTCATCTACAGTTTTAATTTGTGAAACCCCTTTTTTAAAATAGTTCAAGTTGATAATGAAGTTTGTTCTGTTAACATTTATCTGGCTGCTGTTATCAGCCTGTCCCTATAGATAAAAAGCAGCCTTTGCACAAATAAAGCTTCAGCACTTGTCTGTACAATAGGAACTACACAAGTGTTCAGTCAGTCAGATTAAGGTCCTAGATGCTGCAGAAGTCTCCATGATATGTGTATTAAGGAGAATTACAAAGCTGGCCCTGAAGAGTCGCAGCTTAGATAGTAAGATAAACTCCTTGGCTGTAACTGTTTACATCTCAAATGGCTTTGAGTCATTTCTCAGACCCACAATATGCAGTGAAACGTACCATTTTGGCATTTCTTCCTTCGACTCTGTCTTCAAAGCTTGTTGTCTTTAACCTCCCGTTGGCTTTTGCTTTTGTTCAAATATAAATTAATTCATTTCTGCTGCATCTGCTGTTTGATTGTCCCTGGTTTGTTTGTTTTCAGTAGCACCGATGGGTCTGGTTGGTAATAACAGCGTTTGTGGTGGGTGCTGTGCAGACACAGCGAGGTTGTGTCACTGCTCCAGAGGGGTGGGAGGCTGCGAGTCCCGCACTGAACTTTGCGGTGTTGTTTGCACTGGGCGGGGATGAGTGAGAGCAGTGGATCTGTTGGGTTTTCACCTTGGTCCATAAACTGTGATGTGCTCCTTGCTGTAGAGAGCTACTTCTGTTTGAAGAGACTGTTGTCTGGCACTGCTACACCAGCAAATGTCTTTGCTGTGTTTTTCTGCCAGATAAAGGAGTGAGCCCAGAGGAAAACTATTTTCATTGCTAAACATCATCTGTTGCACAGCTTCACTTTGTGTCTGTCCATGGCTCTGGCTTCCGATGGAGGAAAACCACTTTGACTTCCCTGTCTTGCAAATTAATTCAGACTTGAGCTAAGCCAGGTGCAAATCCCTCCTAAAGGACTGGAGGGAGCAGGGGGAAGTGAGGGAGTGCCAAGCACAGTCAGGCTGGGAAGTGGAAGCGTATGTGCACTGTGCTGTGCAAGAGGAGTTCCTGCAGTATCCTTGCGTGTTCCCACTTCCCCTTGTTGGCAGCTGGCAAGGACTGGCTTAATTTAGCAAGATAAGGAAAGCTTTAAGCACTTGGTTAGATAATTTAAACAAGGAATTTATTGAATCAGAAAGAACCTTAAGACCCAGACAGGCTAAACATACATTTGCCCATTGTATAGCGCAGAGCACCCCACAGCACATGGTTTATTTGTGTTTCCCTGAGGTGTTACTGGTAGGAACAGCAGCACCTTCTTTGGGCAAGTGATTGCGAGCAATGGAGGGTGACTTCCATGAAAATTGCAATTTGGGATGTAGTTTCTCATATGGGGATAGCACATGTGAGCCAGTGCTGCCATTCTTGCCTTCTCTCTGCTCTGGTATCACAAGAACAGCTCCAGTGCTTATGCTGCCATGTGGTGGGACAGCTGATCCAGGCTACAGCTAACCCAGAGGACAGAGGAGTTCTCACCTCGATGCAACTTGTCACTGTATGTATGTACCAGTGTGAATGAATACTCAGAATTGGGTAGCCAGGAAGAGACATGAAGGTGGTGCCAACTTTGGGTGCACGCAAGGGAGGCTTTACTCTCAAACAAGACTCTTGGCAGAAAGGGAGTGGAATGCAGAAAGAGAACTGCATAAGCAAATGGCTTTTATTTTCAGAACTTAAGGTATTTGGTAAGGAAGCTTGATAGGTGATGCTGCATCAGCCTGGAAGACTCAGTGCCTCCAAGAAAGGCCCTTATTTTTTTGTGAAATTTGCCACGTTGATGGATATTTTTCATTGCATGGGAATGTGCTGGAGCACTGGACTACAGGCAGTCATTTCCTAAAGCTTGGTGCCTGCTGCTGGTTGGTAGGTATCCATCTTACTCTATAGGAGAGGTCGTGAGGAGTCTTTAATCACAATCCTTTGTCAGTGGCATCAGCAAAAGCACAGTATTCCTGTGAACTGTGTGGTTAACGTGGGTGCTTTGAAGCACGTGCATATGTGTCCCAGATCGTTTGAGGGGAGGGGGATTGCATTTGAATGTGCTGCCTTGTGAACTGGGGAACAGGGTGGGGAAACATGCATGTTGGAAAGTACTTCTTATGTGCTTTCTTGTCATCTAGAGGTTTCCTGACAAGTGTTCCAGTTGGTTATGGGGCAGCACAGAGGAGTTGCACTTGAGTCTCCAGCTGTGAACACACCAGTGAGGGGCCTCGGAAAAAAAAGGAGGGGAAATTGAAAACAGAGCTAATGTAAGCAAAGTATGTTGGTGCAGGGTTGAAATTAATCACAGGCAGTCGGAATCTCAGGCTCTGTAATGGTGTATCCTGTGAAACTGGACTAATTAACTCCTCCTTGAGAATGTCTTTGATGCCTTAAAGGAGATGGACTCTATAATCTGTAGTCATTTTACTAGTTCTTAAAACATTCAGAACTATGTAGAGTGTTTTTATTATGAGAGGCACATTTATGTGGATGTAGTTATGGCTGTTAGCAATTCCATTAATGTGATCTTCAGATTTTCATAAATCACTCTGAACTGGTTTGGCGGATGCTTAAATTTCACGACTTGTTCCAAAGAGATTGTCTCGCTGTGCTGATTTATACAAATAGTCCCTGAACTGGTGAAGCCTCTGTCTCGTGTGTGACAAATTAAAGCTACCTGAGTTGTAATAAACCTTAAACAGAATTGAAAATGAATTATCAGTTTCCATTTCATTTGCTTTAATCTATAGTCTTAAATTACTCTGTCCCTGATACAAATCAATAAATGCAGAATGTGGCCTTGATTCTGCAAGGTGAGTAGAGAGATGCCTATTGCTGAGCTGGTGGGTACTTGCAGAATGGAGGGCTGGCCCTTTGTGCTGTCTAATTTGCAGTTGCTCTGTTCTTACCTGGGTCTATTGAGTGTGAAGGTGATATTTTTAATGTTTCTCATGCACTGATTACTGAGCCAGACAGCCTTGCACACAGTTGTTGCCTTGTGTTGAATCTCCAGTGTGACGCTTAACCTACCTCTACTTTCTGAGGGTTTTGATTGGCATTATCTACTGTAGCATTTACTCAATTCATTGTGAAAATTTAAACCTTGGGAAGTGACGTAGAGTCAACTCCACTGAGCAGCAACTGTGCATCGTGGGTGTGCTCTTGCACTGAATGAAACTCACATTCCTGTGAAGTAATAAAATTGAGTTTTACCATAAACTCTATTTTCTTTCAGTGGTTTGGTTTCAGTTTAATTTCAAAAGCAACTGATGTGATGGTTGAGGGAATGTTTGTAGCAGCTTGTTTTGGGATCTGTGTTATTAGGAGAAGCCTCTCCAGTTGATTAGTTCAATAGCTCTGAACTGCACGCTAATGATGCTCTCTGTCTTGCAGTGGTTTGACTTCTGACAACATACAAGTTTGGAGATGTCACCCATTGCATAAAAAGGGGTGGAAATCTTGCATTAGACACTTTCTACTAAGGTGGCTTTTAAAAAACACCAATCTGTGTTTTTTAAAAAAACACAGAACATGTAGGACCTAAATTGCTTTTCTGGATCCAACTGTGTTAGTGCCCTTCTTGTAATTTTTGTGGATTTAGCGGTGTAACTACAGAGTTAAATCTTGTCTTTGCCACATTTTACAAAACTATACAGCTTGTGAATTTGTGATAATGGTGAGAATGAAGGCTTAGCAAATGTCTCTTTAAGCTATTAATCATGAGACTGGCAACATCATTGTCTTTATTACATTCATAATTTAAAAATCCTATCATGGAGGAGGAAACATGGATGCTTGTTAAATATATTCTTCAGTGGAAAGTACTAAGAAATCAGATCATTAAAGTACAGAATCATAAGAGACACTAGAGCCTTGCCAGGAACAATAATTACTATTTATATGTAATAGGCACTGGGAGGGAAGGAGATGAGTCTGATTTGCTTGTGCCTGAACTTAATGGGTTTTATGAGTAACCAACTAGAAGGATTTGGGGATTGAATTTCATTTCAGAGCATATAATATTACAAATTGTAGAGCTAAAAACTGTTGCAAACTGAGTGAAATATCTTGAGAAATCAACTGGTTTGTTTTCTCTCAACATAAGTAAGCAGAACATGTGTGAAGCAGCTCTAGCTCCTGCCTGAAATTCTGATGAGTTCTTAATTCTCAGGTTTGATTTCAACATTGCTGGTAACTCACCTCCTCTAATGCAGCACTTTCTTGAGGTTACAGACCTTACCTAATGCTAAGGTTACCTGGGGCAACTTTGGGAAGTGGGTGAGAGGAGGAGGGATCAAAAATCCATTGGGGAATCTGCTTGCACCACCTTGTGATAAATGTGTTGTGGGAGGAAGGGCAGGGGAGTAACTGAGCTTTAAATAAGATGTATTTAGCTGGATAATGTGGGTCAGGTCATGTTTATGGTACATGAGCTTGATGCAGACAAGGAGCCATCTTGTTTAAGGAAACCTTTGGTCTGAGTGGGAGAGAAATGCAGGGAAGAGGTGCCTTCTGCAGGGATCATTGCTCTGCACGTAGGAACACTATGTCTTGCTTCAAGCCCGTGCATTTTAGATCAACTTAATGCAGGCAGCAACTGCAGCAAAGGAAAAAACTCCCTCTGCAGTGTTCAACTGAACATCACGTTTGTTTAGGGCACTCGGACCTTGACAGTTTATCCTCAGGCTCTCTGACAGCTCCAGCCCATTGAAAGGCTGACAGGCGGCTGCTGCTCCGCTGCAAACACGGGGCTGCCCAAAGGCACTTACAAATTCAGTCGATTCCAGCTCACCTTTCAGTTCCCAGCTTCTTTGGGGTTTCAGGTTTGACGGGGGGAAGAAGTGAGAGGGGTGGTTGTTTCTAAAGAAGTCTGAAGTACGGATAGTTTTAAGGTGAATCATTCAGGAAGCTTGGCTTAGGACATCTGCTCTCAGTTTTGCATACTGAAATGCTTCTGTTTGACGATTAATGGGCAGAAAAGAGTCTTCAGGGCAGAATTTTTGGCAGAGTTTTGGGTTTTGTCCTCTGGTGGATGACCCTTCAGGTAAATGTGGGTTTTTTTCCTTTAGAACATAAATACAGCTAGAAGATGCTTAAGAACTAATGAAATACAATGCCTTAAATTAATGGCCACTTAGGATTCTTGTAGGCACTTGATTGTCCCCAGACAGGATGTCCTAGTCTTTAGAAGGAACTGGGATGTATTTTGAGGGATCAGTGCTATTTAGAAAACAGGGAGCATGCAGGTTCAGCTCCCAAATTCATTTTGGGATCATTTTACCAGAAGAAACATCAGAACGGAGCATTTGGGTTCCCGTGCAGTTCTTAGCGGGGCTGTAGCTCGTGGCCTTTCCTGTGGCTGTGGGGGTTCCCTGGGTGCAGCCTGAGTCAGATAGATCTTCCCAGGGTACTCTTTGGCCACCAGATGTCACGCAAGGACCACCAGAAGAGCGTGTGCTGCCGCACGCTCCAGCTCCTGCTCATGGGTTGACCAAGCCATGGTGTCCTGGTTGCGTGTCGCCTGCCACGTTGGTGGTTGTCTTCTCACACGTTTCTCAACAAAGTCTGCACTGCACTTGCAGAAAGAATGTGTGTGTTAAACCAAACCCCCTCCCCCACACCTTCCACCCACCATCAAATCCACCGAAAATCCCTCTGTATCAAACATGTAAGTGTTTGGCTCCAGCGCGATTACTCCAGAGTCCCATCAATTTTACAAATTGGCCGAAACATTTTTTGGTAGAGAAACCTTGCATACCAGAAGCCTTTAGTCTGATCAGACTACTGCCCTACCATAGATCACGACTGTTATTTTTATAACTCTGTATTACCATGACAAATGCTGGGAGGAGGGGAGAAACCACATCAGTAGCAACTTCTGTCTGATTTGTGGTCATATGCTTATAACTTGACATGGTTTTGCAAATAACTAAACAAAACCAGGAATTCGTTTAGGGGGGAAAAAAGAAAACAAACCCCAAACTCAAAAAAACTGCTGCATCAAATATCTTGTGTGGAGAGTCTGACTTGCTCGCAATTGGAATCTTTTAATGGAAAATGGTTCAGAGCAGGAGCGGGAACCAATTGCCCTGTGTTAGAGAGCTGGGGCTCTTCTGTGGTTGTTAGCCACTGCCAAACACTGTGACAGCCTCTGGGCCATGGATTTTTTTGAATTTTTATTTAATTGCTGGTGTTTGCTCAGGCTTTTTCCTAAATTTAGTAACATTCAGTGCTCCTTTTTCTCTGCAATACCTTCATAAATTCCCATATAATCTGATCTCTAATTTTAAAGCCATCTGTCATTCTCGAGCTGTATATTTTCCAGATTTAAAAGGTCTTGTTGAAGGAAAATTTAAATTCATGGCCTACTGAAAATGCATTTTTCTTTAAATAATTCATCAGTTAAAATGTCTTTGAACTTGTGTTTGTGTAGCTGGTGAGTCGGGGGGCAGGTGGTGGGATACCTGTACAGTCCTTGCACAGATGCCATATCCATGCACTGCTCACCCCACAGCAGCAGCAGGACGTCGCTGCATCGACACCCCACCCCGGGACCAACCTTCAGAGGTGTCCCCTGTCTGTCACACACCGTCCTGTTCACTAGGTGGCATTGCTTCCTAGTCTGAAAGCCTCTAAAATAGTTCATTAATTATGCTAATCCCCGCAGTGAACTGCACTGCGATGGCTTTGCCCTTGGCTCTTTTTTACTCCATCTGCTTCGCTGGTGGGATTTCTTGGGTTGGGAGACCTGCAGCATCCCCATCTCAGCTGTTGAAGTTCTGGGTGTAGGGAAGGCTTTGTCTTGGAAAACTTGAAAGAGCCTGTTGCGAAAACACTGAGCATAGTGCCCTTGCTGTTGGTAGCCAGCTCTGTGGTCCCAAGTCCACCAAAGTCATTGCCCTCAAGCTACTGACTTAGATTATTATCTTCAATAAAAAACATGAATGTACTTGCTGCACAGAATAGCTGGAGCAGGAATGGTGAAACCTTGCCTGTCCTAGAGTGGGAGTGAAGTGTGCTGATGTGGGAATCCTTTCCAACATCAGACCAACCACAGGGGCAGCAGCAGAGCAAGGTGCTCTGGATGGTAGTGAGCTCCTAATCATCACTTGAGTGTTTTGAGGGAGATTTCTTCATTTTTTTTTTCCCAGGTAGCCCTGTTATTTTCCGTTCTTTTGCCCTTCCTTCTCCTCTTCCTTCTTCCATCTCTTAGTTAAGGGCTGAAACATTGTGAATTTAAGATACCTGTCTGTTGGCAATGGAAATCAGCTGAAATCTTTGGTATGTTTTAAAATGAGGACAGGAATTTTGTCTTTACAGGCTCATTTTAATACCAGGAACACTTAGTTTGTCCATGGGACGCATCAAGAAGGCAGGTGGCAAGGTCTCTGTAAGGGGTAGCTCTCACCTCTGTAGGTGTGAGACTGAGAACAGTCGAACGCGCTGGGGGTGACTGATGCTGTGCTTGGCTGAGAGCAGGGTGCTGCCCCTCGAGGGAGAGGATCCTGCCACTTCCCACCCCGAAATGTCAAGTGTGTTTCTCAGCCTGCAATATTGATGCCCCTTTCCTTTGCAAACTGTGGATGTGCCGCATCTGAGCTGAGACCTCCAGATGTGGCTCCGTTCGGAGCCGGTCAGGACAATGGAGTCCCACACTGGGCTCAAGCACAACCTCGCTGTGTTCTCATGAAAGGACAAGGCAAAGTAGTTTTTTG